CTGGCCGGCAACTTTCAGCGTCATTAAGCCGCTGCGCCACCGTGTCCCCTGTTATTTGCTATATTCTTATTAAAATATTTGCTAGGAAAAGGGAAGCTGAAATTAAAGATGGAACTGATGGAAGGCTCTAGCCTTTATCTTCTGGGAGAAGAGGAACCTTCTCCATTAAATAAAGTATTGCATTGGCAGTGACTGTTGCTTTGTATACCCCTTAGAGTTGGCTTAGCTAAAGCAATTATAAATTCATTTAAAAAAAAATCTGGATAATTGCTCAACAGTAAAAACAGCTGTTTTTATTCTTTCGCAAATCAAGTGTATTCACAACAAATGCACATACATTATCAACTTTAGAAATTCTATCAATCGCACATAAGGTTGTATTTGAATAATAGAATCAAGAAGACTTAAGCTTTGGAGGAAAATGATTGCTTTATGCTCCTCTTGTGAATCTTGGTCCTTTCAAAACATCTACAGTTGATCTATTTGAAGTGAGCACCTCTTGTAAATCATTGTGTAGTTCTGCTGCCTGACGATTGGACAGTGACTAGATTTTTCTTTGCAACTAGATATCTGCAGAGCAACTATTAATAGTGAAATAATGTATCTCCAGAAAATCTGTTTTAACTCTGTTGCTTAATCTACATGTAACTGTGGAGTCCTTGGGGTTCTCTGAACTTGCAAGAAAACAGCCAAGCTCAGAGAACCCCAAGGACTCCACAGTTCAACCCTGAGCTACACATATTCGCTTCTATTGGTACTGCATGTAACTGTTAGGATTAAGGTCATAAACTTTTTATTCATGTGTTCCTCCTGTCCTCAGTATAAATAGTCTCCTCTTTTGTTTTTGTCATGTCTGAGAAATCTAACAATTTACCTGAGTTTAGACGCATCAGATCACATTAAACAAAAAATGGAAGGACATCTTCCAGTTTTTTAATGGAAGGAAGGAGGAAGAGGTAAGGAGAGAGTATTAATATGGGTTTTTTTGGTACATCCTACATCCTCCGTTCTAAGACATTCATGCTACAGTTTGTTTCTTGCATGGTATTAAATTATGATTTTGTGGAAGACCAGAGCAGATGAGCCTTCTGATTAAGACAGGAGCTTTATGTAGGTGTCAGAAGATGCTTGTTCAATGCCATAGACATTGTCTCTTGGTATCCCACAGTGATCCATTCTTTCCTCTTCATTGTTTAACACATTTAACATCTGTTCAACATCTACATGAAAGTGCTGGGAGAGGTCATGAGAGGTTTTGGGGTGGGGTTTCCACAGTATGTGGTATTCTATTCGAAAGGAGCAGCAGAAAGGGAAGCATAGATGCACTGTATGTTCAAAATATCCACATCTGCTCAGAAAGTGAATGAACTTACTAATACTATAGAGAACACCTGAGTTAAAGTAAGTAAAAGAACAAATAAAAGCAGTGCATTTGTTGGTGTTTAATAACCCCCACCCAAAGAAGGAGAAGATGATGATGCCTTTCAAAAGCAAATTACAGATTTTTCCAAGAGGCCTGTAGCAATAGTGATGGGGGATTTAAATTCCCCTGACATCTGTTGGAAAACAAACTCTGCCAGGCATAATCTTCCCAGGAAATTCCTGACTTGTCTTGCTGACAATTTTCTTCTTTACAAAGTGAAGGAAGGCACTGGAGAATCAATTGTTCTTCACTTGATGCTAACCAATAGGGAAGGCTTAATTAAGAAAATTAAAATATCAAGTACTTTGGGGGAAGGTAACTATGTAATGGTGGAATTCTTGATTTTAAGAGAAATTAAGGCTAAGTATAATCAAATATATATATATCGGATCTTACAGCAATAAGATCAGAGGAACTGTAAGTTAGAGTCCAGGGGAAGAGAAACTAATTGGAAGCAGAACTCAAGATGAGTAGGAGTTCTTTTAAAAGGAGATATTAAAGGGACAGTTGCAAACAAATTCAGTGAGGGATGAAATGAAAGCAGAAAAAACCAATGTGGCTTTATAAAAAGCTTAGGGAAACTCTGGAAGAGAATATATGTACCTCAGGGTTGAACTGTGGAGTCTTTGGTGCTCTCTGAGCTTGGTTGTTTGATTGCATACGTTTCACTACCTGAGTAGGTAACATGATCAGTGCTAGTGGGTGTGGAGTTTGTTCCCTGTTTATATACAGTAGCTTGTGTTGGTGGGGGTGTGGTTTCCTCCTTGGTAGCTCCTTGATTAGGATATTTGTTTTCTGCTTGATTTTTTGTCTGGTGTTAATCCCTGCTTATCTGGGTGTAGGCTGCTGGAGAGGATGTGTTCTGGTCTTTTTGTGCTAGTTGGTGTTCATGGATGCTGCCTGCTAGTCTTCTGCCTGTCTGTCATACATAATGACTGTTACAGTCCTTACACTGAGTCATTATAGATGACTCCTGTTTTTTCTTCTTGGGCTACTGGGCCTTTTGGTTTACTTAAGATGTTTGGAGGGCTTTAGTTGGTTTGTGTGCCATGTGGCTGTAATAGTCTATTGGTTGTTTCTGAGATGTTTCTGATGTATGGCAGTGTTATCCTTTTCA